TTTCTGCAATGTTTTTGCATGGTAGAAGTTCTCAGGAGGGGCCCAAGTCTATCTTCAGTTACAAAAGGGAGCAGTGGGGACAAATACATTCACAATTTCCTGGGACCTTTGGCTTTCTCTACATATTGTATAGACCTCCATCCTGGCACATGTACTATAGTTGGATGTTCCTAGGAGAGTTTGAAGATAGGGGCCACATACAACTCCCTTTGTCCCTCATATTTCTAGCACACAGTAGGATTAAAGAGGGCAAGACAGAGGAGAGGAACTCTCAGTGGCATTACCCCACTTTTCCTCCAATGGCAGCAATTCTGCTCTGCCCCAAGCTTGCATGTTCCACTCAGCAAAACCAAAGCTGTATGGTTAACCATACCTGCCCTCCAGTTTACTGCCCATCAGTTGTTACTCAAACATGTCCCTTGAAGGGGGTCTCCCCACTAATCCAAATAGCTTATCAAAGCATTCCTTCCAACACCACATCATATTCTTCATGAAAGGAGTAAACACAACAGGGCCATACATTTTTCAATCATTACAGGCTGGTATCCCAGCCTTCTCCTCTGTAAAGTGAAGATAACAACAAAGTGATGGTTAAGGATTAAATGAGATAACCGATGGCTTGAACTGGGCAATCAAGAGGAATGATTTTCTAAGGATATATAGGTGACTTCACTGTGTACTGACTTAAAAATGCTACTTGTTCTGGCTGACTGAGCACAGCTTCCTATTGAGCATTTCACACCCAGCCTCATTTCTTTAAAAAACAACTTCCCAATCCTACCAGCTGGTACTGGTCTGAGTCTCAGTCTTATCTACATCAGCCATAGAGACAGGGAATGTCAGAGCGCCAGGGCCTTTCAATCCACACCCTTTGTATGTTGCTCTGGGCTGTAAGTAACAAAAACCCAATTCAACCCAACTTAAACAATAAAGGGAATTTATTGGCTCACATAACAAAACCGTCCAGAGGTAGGGCCAATCGCAGGCAAAGCTTGATTCTGTATGTAACAATGTCATCAGGACCTGGTTTCCTTCTGCCTCTTGACTCTTCCTTCAGTAGTGTCAGCTTCATGCTGAAAGTGGTTCCCCTCCATTGTCCCAAGACAGCCCCCATCAAGACCCAGGATTACCTACTTCCTCTTTCACATCCAGCAGGGGGGATAAAAAGAGTCCCTACCCAACATTCCCAGAAAAAGTCTTGCAATTCCGTCTGGCTGCACTGCCTTAGCTCACATGGCCGTATCTGAACCAATCAGTGCAGCCAGAGATGGAATGTGCTGATGGCTAAGTCCAGGTCATCGTTCACCCCGGGAAGTGATGACAGAGTCAGCTCAGTCAGACCATAAAGTCCCCAAACAGAAAGCAAGGGCTGTTAGGAAAGGAAATGGGGGAGTGAAGATTGGGAACGCAACCAACAACATTTACCACATCCCTTACCTTATAGATGGGAAACTGAGACCAGAGAGGGAAAGGCCTTGTCCAAGATCACGGCAGAACAGAGCTGGGACGATAACCCAGCCCTTCAGTCTGCAGACCCTATATTATAACCACTCTACTCGACTTCAACCTTGTTCAGGCCAATTCGCCCAAAATTGAGTGGTGATCAATGTGGGTTCAGACCAATCAATTTCTCCATAAACCTGAACGAATCTACCTTGGAGGCCTCACATTTCAAATACCTCCAGTGAGTTTCTAGTCAAAGAAAACAAGTCTATGCCCAAGAATTCTTGCAGCCACAAAGATCAACCCCAAGACTTCCATCTCTCCTCTTGGGACCCCCTAAGAATCAAGTAGGTCTTGCTACTTTTAAGGGAAAAAAATGGCATTCTAGTGTGCAAACATTATCGCATATTCATGCACTCAAAATCTAATTTTAGCTGCAAGAGACTTCATTATAAGATGCTCACATAATTAAGCAGCTTTCTTCCCAGGGTTCTGAAGCCTGTCTATTCTTCTCTCTCATTTACACATCACTGGGATTATCAGAATGTGTTTTAGTTTTTTAAAATTATATATTTTGGTTTTTCCAAATTGATCTACAACAGGAGATGAAATCCATGAAAATTACATGTTTTAACACAGGTTTGTGTAACTCTGTAGCCTTTCTATTAAAGTTGGAATCTGTAGACAGTCAGGGTTTCACTGTTCTGTTCTGATCAGCTCCTAATGCATTTGCCACACCTCTCCCCTAAATACAGAACCGCTTTTACTCCTTGGCTGGTTGGGACAGTATCCTCTTTACGGAGAAACTGAGAGGGATCGACGAGACCTAACTTGGAGAGACAAATGGACTTTCCCAAAAGGATGGACAGATCCCCTTCCTGCGCTTCTAAGGAGCCCTCCCACAGAGACAAGCTTGAGCGATGACTGCTGAGAACCTGCAGCAGTAGGCAGGGCCTTGCACCTCCTTGCTCATCCAAGAGCCGGGAGCACCTGACACTTGTTGTGTGGACTGACTTAGCACGGCCTGGATGCACCCTGATCCCATCATTCTACTCATCTGCATGCCTGGCTCGGGTGCACAGTAAACTACAAGGCCATTGGAGTAGGTGGCACTCCACCTGGGAGGAGAGGAGGTCTCTGGTACCTGGCAGCAGGGAATGGACCCACCCCTCTACCAGGAGGAACTGGCTGCTGCTGTTGCTCTCCTGACTCCTACGCAGGGGGGCCATGGGGGCCATGCCCCAGCTGTGGTCCCAGCTAGTCCCCCAGCCGCACCTCCACCATTCCCAGCCTCCACAGTTTCTGAGTCGTCTCCCTGAAGATGTCTGGGTGGCCGGGGAGAGTGAGGCCAGCGCCGGGAGCCAGTGTTTGGAGGAGGCCAGCTTCCCTGTCCTCCAGCAGTCAGTCTGCATGCTCCTTCAAAACTCTAGGTTTGCTCTGGGAGGCAGGTAACCCCGGCGCCCCTTCCACAGGGGCCTTCACAGCCTTGACCTTGGAGCCATGCCGAGCCAGCAAATGTTTACAAAGACCCTGGTGTTTCCAGCTTTGGGCTGAGCGAGTGATGCTGTGGGAGAGTCTAGAACAGCTGCAGCAGCAGTGTGGGTTTGGGGAACCTCTGGAAGGACCCGGAGGCCACCAGGAGCACAGAGCTCAAGTCTTCTCATTGGCAAAACCAAAGGTGGGGGAGGCCTCCCTCTAGGCAGGGTGGTTCCGCTGGGCCCTCCAGCCCCGTCCGCCCTCCCTGGGGGTCTCTCAGCTCCCCATTGCCGGGCCAGGGAGCAGAGGGTCAGGGCCTCCCCAGGCCCACTTTCCCCAAACTCCTTGCCTGTCTTCTCCAGAGGCAGCTTAGCTTAGGCAGGTGGGAGGTCAGACCAAGGGGCCCAGCCAGCATTGCCCCAGGCCTGGAGAGCCTGCAGGGGGCTCACGGGCTGCAGAGTTCAGGCCTGTCCACCTTTGTCCCCCTCGCATGGGTCGGCATGCACCGGAGCTCTCCACCACCCTGGGCTGTGCTCCGGGTCCACCCCCACCTCCAGACCTAAGCCCCCTGGTCTCCACAGCCTCATTCCTGAGCCCGAGATGTGTAGTGAAGGGTGACCAGACAGGGTAACTAACATCAGCACCTCTGCCCCTCCCAGCTGAGCACTGAGTGGCTGTAAGGACAGTCCCTCTCTGTGTCCCCACCTCTGACCTCACCCACCCACTCCCCTCCTCCTACTGCACAGACGCAGAGACACACATGCCCCACACCCCATTCACCTGTTTTGCAAAGCACACCAGTGTTTTCCAAGCCTCTGAGCCTTTGCACGTGCTGTTCTCTCTGCCTCAATTACCCTTCCCCTTTGCTTTCCTGGGATAATTCCTACAGATTCCTCAAGACCAGTTCAAAGCCACCATGACGCATTCCTTGAAGACCCCAGGCACATGGGCTGACCCCCCGTGAGTCCCCACAGCACACACTCTCCTCTGTAACTGGGCTTCTCACTCCCATTTGTGACAACCCCTCCCCTGCCCCCACTAGACTGTGAACTGGGCCTGGGGGAGGGGGGCTTCCTATCCATCTTCTCCCCAAGGCCAAGGCCAAGGCCAGCACACAACTGGCATCAGCAGCTGTGAGTGCCCTTCCCTTTTTGTTGAGGAAATGGATGAACAAGTGGGAAAGACATCAGCCTCACAGAAACAGACAAAGGGTGTGGTAAAGAGGCCGGGTGACAGGAAGGGGCAGGGTGATAACAGAGGGACAGAGAGGGCTGGCCACGGGCCATCAGGGGGTTCAGGCAGAAGCTGAAGCCACAGCCTCTGCCCTGAGGGAGGGTTGTGTTGACGGGCCATGCAGCCCCCATTCCTCATGACCCCAGCGCAGGACCCCATGGAGAGCAGGGACTGTCAAGATGGGTGGGGCAACCATCTGCAGTGTCTCCCCAGGCCCACCCAAGGCCCCTCCTGCTGGCATATGGGCCCATCGGGTCCAGGGCTCCCCTGGAGGCCCAGCCCTTCCCAGCCCCACTACCCTTTTCCCCTCACACCTTGCTTCTGGGGCACGGCATGAATCCCCGGCTTTCCTGGGGACAGCTGGAGGAAAAAGCCAGGCAAAGAGGCCCCGTGCCAAGGTGCATTCATGTTGGAAGGGGTGGCGGGGGTGCGTCCTGAGGTTGGTGCGTGTACTCAGGGGGCTCCACTCAGCCCACTGTGCCGCCAGCCCATACGCAAAGAAAGGGGAGGCAGAGCTGCAGAGTTGTGGTGCCCAGTCGTCACACCACCCACATTAATGGGATGTCAGACACGCGGTCAGAGCTGCAAGGCCCTGCAGCAACAGTCTGTGCGCGCACCTCCCTGCCGAGGTCTGCTGCTCGCAGCACGGATGCCCACCCCGCCGGGCATCCCGCATCAAGGACCCTGACAAGCGAGTCTGTTCCTGGGGCTGGAAATAGGAAACCCCAAGCCTCCGAGAGCCCAAGGTGCACGTGTGCGCGCGTGCATGTGTGAGACAGCCAGCCAGCCAGCCAGCCTCTGGCAACACACACCCTGGCGTCTGTGCGCCTGCGTCTGCAAGTCTGGGGGCGTCTGGTACACCCTGCGTGGTGGCTTAGGTGCATCAAGACAGGCACTGTGAGCTGAGAGCGGCCGGTCTAAGCGCGTCTGTGAGAGCTTGTGGGTGTCTGTCCTGTGACATCGTGTCTGCCTAGATGGCCTAAGGGCTTCCGTCCGGGCCTCCCTGCGCAGGAGGGAGGCAGCACGCGGACAGGCCTCCCTGCTGGCGGCGCGAGGAGCCGTGCCTCCCAGTGAGCATGCGCGCAGCCCGGGGGGCGGCCGGCTCTAGGCGGGGCGAGCAGAGCGGGCCGGGGCCTATCATCTGGGCACATACTCTCTGGGCAGCCCGGCCCAGTTGTGGTCGCGCAGGGCCTTGTCCACTGTCCGGATGTAGCCATTGATGAGGTCCTTCATCTCCGGGGTGAAGGGCTCGGGGTCGTGGGGGCGCCGGCCGCGCCGCCGGAAGCTGCCCTCCTTGTTGTTCTCCACGCAGAGCAGCCGCTCCTCGCTCACCGACACGTTGAGGAAGGCCACCATCTGCCGCAGCGTGGGCACCAGGCTGCGCCGCAGCTCCTCGTAGTGCACCACCAGCAGCCGCTTGCCGTAGCGGAGCCAGTCCAGGACGTGCGAGGACCACCACGACGCGTAGCTGTTGACGAAGTCGGGCCACTCTGCGGCAGGGCGGGGGGAGAGGGGCGCCCTGTCAGGACTCGGCCCTGGCAGCCCTGCTCGCCCCCTGGATGCTCAGCACAGGGAAGCGGCCGGGATTGTCCATCGCCCACGACCCAGGGCCAACCTGCCCGAGTCCCCCGCGGAGGAAGACCCTTTTGGTGACCGAGTGTGAGTACGGGTTAATGTCAGGCTGAGCTCTGAGAGTCCTAAGCCAGCCGGGGAGATGTGACCTGCAGTTTCCTTGGAAACACACCAAGTTCAGACACGTGGACGGAGTGTACCAAGAACTGGTTCTCCCAATTCCTTCACCTTTGGGACTGGACTTGGTGGGGAGAGCTGGGGCTGGGCCACACTGCGTGACACAGTGGTGTTACACAGGTGGGAAACTGAGGCAGGACATCTCTGTCGAGATGACCCTCCTTCACTTTGATCTTGTCTCGGACAACTATGCACGTCCACTGTGGGTGACGGGGGCCGAGGGGTATGTGTGGGGGAGCTGTGGGGCCTCCCCGTGAGATGAAGATGCTGCCCAGGCCCCACTTCCTGTCCCGGCGCCTCCTACAAAGCTAAGTGGATGTGGTGCCTGATTGATGCTTCTTGTGTCTGTGTGTGACTGCCAGTTTGAACCTGTGACACTACTAGAAAACGGGACATACTGTGAAGCCACAGACAGAGGCAGCTACAAACTTTTGCAGGTGATCTACTCCGTGAGATTTCTTTTCCAAAAAATTAAGAAATTACTTGTTTTTTTTGGTGAGGGGAGGGTGCAGGTGTCAAGAATCACCCCAACAAAAATAGTTTCCAGAATTGGGCTATCAGTACACCTTAAATGCTGTGGGAGTTTGCTTTCTCTAATCTTCACAACGACCCTATGAGATGGGGACACTTTTGTTTTTAAGATGAGAAAATTGAAGCTCAGAAGACAAGGTACGTGGCTTGTCCAGGGTCATGCAGTTCAAAAGGGGCCGAGGAGGGATCAGAGCTCAGCCTGCCTGCATCCTAAAGGGGAGTCAGCAAGAGGGACAGGGATGGCCGGGGGGGGCTGGTCTAGTGGAGGGTGCTGGGGAAAGGGGAGGACACCAGTCAGCCTCAGCTGACCCAGAGTCACGCAGGGACAGAGCACAAGCCTGCCTGGCCTACTGCCCCACGTCTCACCATGCCACCCACCCTGCTGGGCACAGCTTTATTTCTGCCTAATAATTCTATATCACTCAGTACCCTGACTTGATCTCTTTAATTCATTGCCCAGAGTGCATGCCTGGAGGGCAGAGGCCATGACCCCTTAGCCCGGACCCCTGGTCCCTTGCCCAGGGCCTGGCATGCAGTAGGACTTCACTAAGTATGTGTCAGCAGACTGACTCCATGAATAAAGTTGCAGTGGGGAACAAGCCAATTTGACCCAGAATCAGAAAATTCAGGCACTATGGACTGAATGTTTGTGCCCCCCCCCAATTCATATGTTGAAGCCCTAACCCCCAGTGTGATGGTGTTTGCAGATGGGGTTTGGGAGGTCATTAGGGTTAGATGAGGTCCTGAGGGGGGTCTTCATAGCGGGATCAGTGACCCTATAAGAAGAGACCCCGGAGAGCTCGCCTCTGCTCTCTCCGCGCACATGCACCGAGGAAAGGCCATGTGAGGACTCGGTGAGAACGTGGCTGTCTGCAGGCAGGAACAGTCCTCACCAGGAACCAAATAGGCCAGCACCTCGGTCTTGGACTCCCCAGCCCCAGGACCGTGAGAAATACATTTCTGTAGCTATTTCTGTACGTTGACAGTATTCTGTCACAGCAGCCCAAGCTGACTAACACCTCGGGTTGGAGTCCCAGCCCTGCCACCTACCACCTGGGCCGCCTGGACAAGTCACGCAGCCACGTCCTCTGGTCTCCTCTAGCCAGGAGGGCTGAATGAGGTTCCCCTACGGGACACTGTGAAGGGTCCGTGAGAGGCCGCTCAGGAGGGGACTGACACGCTGCACGCTGACCATGGACAGGGCATACCCCTGATCTCACTGATCCCCGACTCCCCCAGGAGGGGTAGGCTTTTCCTCATTTATAAAGGAGGAACCTGGTCCTGGAGGCAGAGGAGGTGCAAACCCAGGGCCTCCTGCATCCACAGCCTTGCTCCTCCCACAGCTCCGGGTGAGCTCCCGGGTATGAGCAGGAACAGAAAAGGGGTGTAGATCCTCCACCCTGACATCCCACGTAGAACACCATGATGTGTGGGCCTGGCAGGGACGGGGGTGGTGGTGGGAGGGGGGGGACAGGGAGGAGGTGAGCGCAAACCCAGGCAGAGCAGGAGGATTGGTGTGAGTGCCCCCGGGCTACAGACGCTGCATCCTGATGGGCGTCCCGCCCACCCCCAGAGCCCGGCCACTGGCCCCTTCTGTTCACCTTTGCTCTTCCAGTTGCGGTCGGCCGCGTAGCCCAGGTGCCCGGCGCATTTCCTGTTGAATTCGGCCACCAGGGACCTGTACGGGTTCCGGATCAGCAGGATGGCCGAGTCGAACATCTCGATCTCCCTCCTGCCGCTCTCGTGGGTCTTCACGCAGATGGTGCGCCGGCTCCGCCAGTGATCCTTCTCGCCCTTGAACCCTGCCCGGGAGAAAGGAGAGGGCCCCTTGGAGGAGGCATCGTGCGGCGCCCGCTGCCATCGCAGCAGAGAGATCTGAACGCTAACCTGCATCCCTGAGGGAAAGCTGATATTAGGGGCCTAAGAGAGGCCTGTGCAGGGCCCTGGGAGGGCCTATGGATGGCTGACAGGAGCGGCCTCCACAGGCCAGATCCCTGCTCAAGACAACTTGAGAGCAGGAGGTGTCCAGGAGTGGGGAAAGATGGTGTCTGCAAGAGAATGGAGATAAGGCACTCCCTGCAGCCCCCAGGAGTCAGGAGACAGAGGGCCTGACCATGCCTGTCTCTAGACATTGGAGATGCACACATCTGGGCATTTACATGGTGATTTCACATAAGCATCATAAATAACCCTGTGACTTAACCATATCAGCAGGCACAGCCGGATGAAGAGACTGAGGCTCAGAGTGGGTATGAGACTTCCCCAAGATCACACAGCAACAGAGCCAGGGCTCTCTCTACGTGGTTTTGTGTGTCCCTGTGAGGCCCCGGCTCCCACAGTGGGGGCAGGATCCCCATCATCAGGCTCAAGGCTGTATAAGTAGCTGTAGCCCCACCCCCGACCATGCCGCAGTCCTATATCATCAGGGCCCAGCCTTGCATATGTGGAGATGCTCCACCTTGGGCTCAGAGTAGGTCTGGCCAAGGTCTCATCCACAATGTCGGAGCCCAGCCCTGTGGAACCCAGGGCCCAGTTTCTGTGAATGGAGACCTGCTCCCACTGCCCAGCCTCTCTGGGGCCTGCCTTCTTCCGGGCCTCTCGGTCCAGTACTAGGAGTTCAGAACCCGAATGACTTCCGGCTGAGAAGGCCAGGCTCTACCCATCCATCCACAGAGACACACATTTATCAACAACATTATTGTGTACTCGTTCGGTGTTGGACTTTATGTTGGGGATAGAGGGGTAAGACTCAGACCCTGTCTTAGCTTACAGTCTGTAGGGGAATAGCCTAACTATACTACAGAGCATAGGGGCTTATGGGAACAGAGTAGGGGGACCAACCACGGGGATGTAGTGGGATGTCACAGAAGGCTTCCTGGAAAGATGTCCCCTGGATCTAGTCTCCTGGCCACATCCCAATGGAGCCCACGCCAGCCAGCTCTGGGGACATGCTCCCTAAATGCATATGAGCTTATCCTGGGCTCTTGGAAACATGAGTCCTACTACGTGCCCCCTTCATGAATGGCTGGGAAGCATTTGTATCTACAGAGCAGCGAGCAGCATCTTTGATGACTGGAAAACGCAAGTCTCTTTTGAACCTGGAAGTCTGGGTTTACCCGCTGAAGCTCAACACATGTTTCAAACTCATCTCTGCCACGGGCCAAACATCAAGAGTCTTTGCTTTGATTCATTCTGTCAAATAGCTGGGAAGCTCTAGGAAAGGAAGAGTCAAGCCATGGGCTGAGTAAACCTGAGATCTGGTCTTTGACACCCTGAGACCCAGGGTGCATTTTGTACTGCCTCAGCCAATGTCAACAGCAGCCACTTTTCCTTGTAACTCAGACCACGCTCACCCATGACAGGTTTGACATTTTGGCATTGGAGCTGCCTTGTGAATTTTTCACGTGTGTATGTTATTGCTCTGAGGCCAGTGGCTACATCTAACCAGTCCCACAAGGCTCAGAGATGCAGGGGGTATCTCTAAAGCCATTCTGAGGCAGTGTCACCCCAACCCTTATATCCAGATATTCAAGCCATTGGGCCACTTAGCCATTTGTAGACCAAATCAGCCAGCTGTGTGAATAGAGTAAAGACTTTCTAGATGAACAAGGTGGGTAATGCAGCCTGCGTACAGTGAGTGGTTCCCAGGGGATGAGGCCAGAGCGGGCAGGACCACGTGCTCTATCTGGGCACTTCACCTGTAGGTGCCCATAACATTCAAGACTACCATGGACGAAGGGGCTGGTTATATGGACACCCTCGATTTTTCCCAGCCAGACCAAGACTGCCGTGGGTGATTCCAGGACCCCCTGCCAAGCTCAGGAAGTCCCTATTTTCTCTAGGATGTCACTGATAGTATCATCTTTTCCTAAACGAAACTCTAGTTAGGAAACCCAGAGAAAACACTGTAACCCTCAACAACGGAGAAATATTTTGCCAAATTTAGATCCCACTTGACTTGTCTGAGGTTCTTAGTTCTTAAACAGCACACAGACTTGAGCCATTGAAGTTCATTTACTTGGCAAAATGAGGCCTCTTATTTCTACAAGGGAAAGGTTAGAAATCATAAAACTCTTGAAGATTTTTGGACCTATCTTTAAAAAAACAGCATTTTGATAAGCTACCCCTTGCCTCCGAAAAATAAAAATAAAAAAAAGATCAGATGAAGTCAGTCTCACCTAATTATCGAGGGTTTGGGAGATGAAAGAAAATTCAAGAAATGTTTAAAGAGAGGGAATCCTAGCTACTAGGCTTTCCCTTTGAATCCAGAACAAGCACTACCTCGTGAATTTTCACCCAAAGTGTAAACCTAGGGCTGGCTGCATCGGCATCGCCTGGGAGCTTGTTAGAAACGCAGATTCCCAGGCCGCATCTCAGATCACCTGAATGGGACTCTTGGGCTGGCCCAGGAATCGGTGCTGAAGCTAACAAGCCCTCCGGGAGATTCTCATGCACACTCGAGCTTGAGAAGCACCGCTCTAGTGCTCTGAGGAGCTCGGCTGCAGAGGCGACAGTCTGACCCCCAGCAGCTGCCTTCCTCCCTCCGCCACGGCCTCACTCACCTTTGTTGTAGAGCGTCCCATCAAAGTAGTAGCTCCCTGTGTAGAAGCCAGTGGCATGCTCAATGAGGTGCCGCGCCCATGTGTTCCCGGCTCCCGGGAAGCTCGACAAAGCCACAAACACTTTGGACTTGGTGGGCAGGAACCTCCTGTCTGTGCACCGAGTGTCTGAAAGTCCAGAAGTCGTCTCAGCGTCACTCGCCCCCACTGTGACCCATAAACTCACCACCAGACTCCCCGAGACAGGAACTGCTGATCCAAGACTCTCACTTAATAGATGGGCAAACTGAGGCCCAAAGAGGGGAAGGGATTTGCCACCTGTACCTTGGCCGCACAGGTGGGTGGCTGGCGCCAGTGAAAGCCCCAGTGACAACAAGGCCTCCTGTACCCCAGTGCAAGAGTGGGGTGCGAATCAGTGCCCTGCGGACACTTAGCCCTGCTTTGTCTCCACGGCCACAGCTGAACCCTGGCTCCTGCACAGCACAGATAACTCCAGATTTTGGAAGGGAGGGGGGTGGGGGTCATGGCTGGGCTGACCAATGCCACACACCAGGTACAGCCAACAATGAACCAGGGCCGGACTAATTTCAGGCTAGTAGCCTCTCTGGGCCTCATCTTCCTTCCCCCCAGGGCTGTGGCAAGGAGCGCATGAAATCATCAGGTGAGAGCCCCAAAGGCCCCAGGGCTGTGCTGGGTCACAGTAGGTGCTGGATAAAGGTGGCAACATCCCTCCCCCCCTGCTCTGCCTCTCATCAGCTCCTGAGGTCAGCTGGGGCTGACCTGATGCTCACACAAGGGAGATGCTGGGGCCTGGGTGTAGCCCAGGAGCCTTACTGGTTCCCACATCCTGGGCTGGCTTTGGGAGGCCCCTGTGGCCACTGGGCTCCCATGCCACCCGACCCTACCACCCTATTCCTCTGGACTCTGTCTCTCTGCTTTTCCTCTCTTTCTCAAACCACCTTCATCCCCAGAGAAACTCAGATAAAGGTCAGGTGCTCTTCAAACTGAGCCCTGCATCCTACGTCCAACCTCCAGGGATGGTGAAGCCCGCCTCCTTCCCATTATCCCAAGATGGCATCACTCCCCAAGATGCCAGGGTTTTCACACAGACACCCTCCCCACCCCAGGACTGCACACCCAGCCATGGCTGGCATCTCCAGACCCCCAGACCAAATGCCGCAGCCAGCAGTAGACACAGGGCAGAGGGCCCTGCACACCTTGTCCACCTCCGGGGCAGAGCTCACCTTGCACAGGCGTCTGGTAGACCTCGCAGTACTCCGCCAGCCTCTGCGCCTCGGGCTCCTGGCCACACAGTGCGCCGTCCACGGCATCCCGTAGGTTGAACTGGGGAGTAGGGTAAGCACAGTAGCACTCCCAGCCCCTGAGGACAGCCAAGGGGAACTCCTGCCAAGGAAGCAGAGGACGAGAAGCATCTTGGGTGGATGCAAGGTCCACGCCTCCCACAGCTCAGGTGCTGGGACGGACATGTGCGACGTACTGCCGGCGGCACGGGATCAACACGGACGTCCGTCCGTCCTTCCAGTGCCGGCCTCTGTGCCCAAACCCAGGGGAGAAAAAGCTCAATGAGACGTGACTTCTGCCCACCAGTAGCTCACAGCTGGCCAGTGACAAGTTAACAGTCAGCCCAGTGTGAGCCGAGCTATGATAGAGGGGTGAGCCAGGTGTGGAAGGCAGGGAGCAGGGCCTGGAACTGGACTTGCCAGCCGTCTAGGAAGTCATCAGGAGCGCCGGGGAGGGAACGGGGTTCTGCATGAGCGAACGTGTGCGTGGGTCAGAAGGGAAAGAGAAGCCCACACAGGGCAGCGTGGGGCTCAGCGGGTCACATCTTTAACCAACAGACTGTGAGCCCCTAGTTGGTTCTGGTATTCTCTCTGGCCATTCCTGGAAAGAGACCCAACCCAACCCTAGTGCCTGAAGTCCTAGTGCAGAGTGGGTGCAGGGCCGGTGACAACACACAATCCCACACAACCATCTCTCCAAGACAGGAGGGATGGGCAAGAGCAGACCTTGATCCCTCCGAGGTGCTAGCCCGATGGGCGCCTCCTGAAAACAGAGGGGCCCCGGCAGGTTTAGGAGAGGGAGGCGCCTCACTACGTGGGCCCAGCCCGCTCCTGGCAGTCTCTCGGTCCCCTCCAGGGAGGCTGCCCCACACAGTGGAGAGAGCTGGGACACTGAGCTCCCGAAGGCCTGGATGTGAATGCGGGGTCACGGGCTGGTAACCTTGGGCAAGGGGCTGGACCTCTCTGCATTTCACCATTGAACAAAGGTAATAACATCCACCTTGCACGTTTGTTATGAAGCCTAGATGAGAAGGGTCCAAATGGCCCAGGGCTGGGCCTGGCACACGGTAGGTGCTTTCACAGAGGAACGGAACGTCCTGGCCTCCTAACCCCTGTGGGCATCAGCCACAGCTCGCTCAAAACACCCCCCACCCACCTCTCCCACACATATTTTTTGAGCATCTACTATGTACCAGGAACTAGATAAGACACTTAGCCCCGTTGCATCTCTGCCTCTCCCTGCATCTTGCAAACAGGAGATGCCAAGCCTCCTGGAGTGCGGAGAGATGAGAGAGCAGTCTATGAGCGTGTGTGAGTGAGGAAGGCGGTGGGTGGAGAAACCTTCTCGCTGCTAAGGGAAACGCTGCTCAAACCTTTTTATTTTTTGCCCACAGCAAAAATCTCATAAATAAATAAATAAAAGAAAATCAATAGCATTTCCTGAGCGTGGCTTGGCCGAGCCGAGGATCTCGGTACTCAGAAAAGTCAATATATGGTATCCCAGCCAAGGGAGGGCGAGGTGGGGAGGGACCTTAGGAGGGGGTGGGAGGAGAGGCTGCCCCCCATGGTAGGCCTGTTGTGTCAGCACGGCCGCATTCTCTCCCAGATGCCTCGCAGCCCCCATGAAAACCTCTCCCACCTCCTCGTCCTCTTCAAGGCTCAGGGGGAGCTTTGCCTCTGCTAGGAATCTCGCCAAGGGCCAGGCCCACGTCCCTCGCCCAGAGCTGAGCTGTGGGGACAGGAGAGAGGATGCTTTCACTGTTCTCACACTACACACACTAAACACACACACACACACACACACATACACATGCTATCTGCTTCTAGAGCTCAGAGCTCCCTTTTGCATTGGAAGAACTCTTAAACATTCTATGGGACCAGAAGCAAGTCACCTCCCCTTCTGGAACCTTAGTTTCTCCCTCTGTAAAATGGACGTATTCCACAAGTCGGCCCTCTCACTAGCCTCCTCACGTGAGGGTCAGTGAGACCAGGACATCTATGCCCCCACCTTTCCTGGAAGAGGCTTGACACTCGGATTTCTCCAAGGATGGAGGATGGAGGATGGGGGTAGACAGTCGCTCTGGGTGTGCAAGGAGGGACCAGGGAGCAACCCCACATAGGACAGAAAGCACCAGGTTTAGAATCCAACAGACCTGGACTCAAATGCAGTGCCATGATTCAATATCTGTGTGACCCTGGGCCAGTCACTGGCCCCTCAGAGCCTCGATTTTCTCATCTGCAACACAGAGGCAGTGTGCTGGGAGAACGAAGGGAGGAGAATGCATGGAAAGGGCCCAGCCCAGTGTCCAGCGCATGGTAAGTGTCCCCCTATTCTACCTCTCAAGACCTTTAATTGTACTAGAGGCGGGCCCCAGACCACCCTCCTACATGCAGAGAACCCCCGAGTTTGATTCCTAAAATTCCTCACTTTGGCTCCCCCTCAACGGCCCCAAAAGCACAGGATCAGGACAAGGTCTGAAGCCCCTCCCCCAGTGAGCACACTTGTGGTCCTTTGGTCTTGAGCAGATGCATAAAGACAAGAATGGCTTTGAAGACTCCACGGCCACAGTGGGGCCCTAACCCCAGGACCAAGCCACACCCTCCTCCACAGCTGCTATCACTGTCAGAGCCACAGGGAGGACCCAGCACAGGCAGCGGGGCCACCATCTCAGTGCAGAGCCAGGTGACTGGACTTGGGAGGGCGGGGACAAAAAGCTGACAAGTGCCATCAGTGCCTCTGGCTAGACTGCCCCGCCTGCGGCCCCCAGGCCATTCCTCTACAGAGAGCAAATCTGTGTCCTGACCCTCAATCAGGACACCCCCGGCTTTCTGGAGGCAAGTTCTCCTGCCATGTGAGATAGTGAAAAGCCATCACAGGAACTGCGACCTCCGGCCGCTGCTGTCTCCATCCGTCCTCCCCTACAGAGCCCGCATCCAGCTCATCCCACAGCAACCCCTGCATGGCAGCGAGCCGTGGAAACAAGCAGCCCGGGCGCCCGCCGAGGCAGCACAGAGGGCACACAGCCATCCATCTGCGTCCCCCGCACTTCTGTCTACACTGGCTGATACGGCTGGACTGTGTCTCCTAAAATTCCTATGCTGAAGGTGACTGTATTTAGAGACGGGGTCTTCAAAGAAGTAATTAAGTTAAAATGGGGCCATTAGGGTGGGCCCCAATCCTATCTGACTAGCGTTGTTATAAGAAGAGATTAGGACACAGACACACAGAGAATGAGGGATGACCATGTGAAGACACCAGGCCACCTGCAAGCCAAAGAGACAGGCCTCAGAGAAACCAAACCTGCCAACACCTTGATCTCAGACCTGTGGCCTCCAGAACTGTGAGAAAATAAATTTCCGTTGTTTAAGCCCCCAGCAGTCTGTGGTAACTTGTTATAGCAGTCCTGGTAAACGATACACGTATTCTCACTGGTCCTTGACCAGTGTAGACACCCCTACCTCAGGGCCTTTGTCCTTGCTATTCCCTCTGTCTGGAATGTTCTTCCCCCAGATACCCTCATGGCTTTCTCCCTCACTTTCTTCAAGTCGCCTTCTCCGTGAGGCCTTCTCTGGCCACCCCATGTCGAGTTGCAATATCCCTCCCACCTTCACCAAAACACCCTGTCCCTCGTTGTGCTTCTTAATTTTGTTTCACTGAGATGTAACTTACCGCGAAGAAATGCTGACCCTCGATCGGTTTTGGTGACTGCCTATCAAGGTACATGGCGTTTCCCTCACTCCCTCACTCCCCAAGCACGGCTACGCTGATTTCTATCACCTCAGATCAGTTTTGTCTGTTCTAGAATGTCCTATAAATAGAATCACCCACTGCATATTTTTGTGTGTCTGGTTTCTTTCATTCAGAAAAATTATTGTTCAATCCACCCATGTCGGATTATGTGTCAGTTGACTGTTCCTTTTTATGGCTGAGTAGTATTCCACGTGTAGATGTACTGATTTGTGGATGCATTCACTTGATGGACCCCTGGGCTGTTTCCAGTTTTTATCTATTACGAATAAAGCTGCTATGAACACTCTTGCACAAGACGTTCAGTGGATAAATATTTTCATTCCTCCTGGGTAAATACCTAAGGTTCCTGCTCCATTTTTCTCCACAGTGCTTGTCACCATTTAGCGTACCATCTATTTTACTGATTTACCTGGTTTATTGTCTGCCTCTATCTAGGAGCACGTAAGCAGGGATTTTTGTTTGTCTGGTATGTTTGCTGCATTCTCACACCCTGGAACAGCATCTAGAACATGGCGGATGCGTAATGAAGGTTTGAGGGATGAACCAATGAATGAATGAATGAATGCCCTTTCCGGATCCCAGCTCCCCCCAAAGTTGTTGGCAATGGACTTGGGCATGAGCCCTCTGTTGGTCATTTGCACACTGGCCACGAGAGAGGAGAAGAAAGCTCACTACATCTAAGCAATCCCTCCCCAACATCGGGACCCCCAGGGGCTCTGCTGTCCTGGGATTCCTGTTCAAAGAAGAAAATTTCGCCGACATGGCAACTCTGCTCAGGGCGGGCTGGCTCTGCCTCCCCAGGTACCAGCGCTGCTGATGCTGATGCCTCACCATCCTCTATCCCAGGGCTGGGGACGGGCTGCCCCCACCAGTGACCCAAACCTTTTTGCTTCCTTGAGTGGATTAAACTGTCAAGTTGCTGGGTGTTTGCAGAGCGACGGGAGAGCTGTAGACAGTAATGCGGTTTTATTTACAACATAACTGCTTGGGCGACATCACTGGATTCTGAAAGCACAGAACAATTTTCAGACCCTTGGGGATTTCTAGGACATGATTTCCATAAAAATTAAATATTGATGAATCTTATCTCTCTGCCCACTTCCTCGCTCCCCCTACCTCCACACCAAGCTTCAGTAAGAGAGAGAGAGAGAAAGAAGAGGAGAAAATGATCAGAGAAAGCAAGGCAGAAGGAGAAAGCGAGCACGCCAGGTGTGGGACTGTTTCAATCAAATAGATGAGGGGCTAATGAGGGAGCCAGCTCAGTCTGCATCCAAGGGCAGGTGGATACACATCCTAATCCAGATCCTTCATCTAGCCTGAGCCTGGGTGTCCAGGAGGGGCTCGGGTGGGGG